ATTGACTGTAAATCTTACCGATTCCACCACCCACTTGTTCTTCCAAGATCATGATGGTAATATCACTGAATACCTTGGCGGTTATGATACCTGGAATAGTACGTGTGGCTGTTAAACCATTTAGCTGGACCTTGGACTATTTCTAACATCATACACAGCGAAGAAGGTAATCCTTGTCAAGGAGAAGGTTGAAATTAATACTCCTCTCACCGCCGCCAATTCTCGCATCGCGAAAAAGCCCTATGTCTTTTATGCGACTAAAAGTGATCCTTTCAAGGTGATGACTTACAACAACAGCAAATCATCTGAGGTTGTGGCTTATGTCCCCGGCACCAAGTTGGGCGCTATCGGTTTCGGTAGGAAGGTCCACCTCTTCCAGAAACACCTCGAGCACCCGACAATTATTTGAACTAGAGTTTATGACGGCAGCGCTTGGAAGTTAGGCTTTAAGGTCATTTCGTAGATGACTAGTCCTTTGTAATAGATATCATGGTCAATGACTATATGGGTCATCGTTATTGAGTTTTGCCCTTCAAGGTCTCGTGTCCAACTATATCGTTTTATTGTGGAGTTCTTGCCATTATGCAGTGTGCTTCCTTCATTTATTTTTATTTTCTTGGAGTTCAATCCGCCCACAGGATGTATCAACAGCCGTGAAACGTTGACACCCCATCACCAAACCCAACGAAACTTCACCAGCGGCCGCATGTGCCTCATCTAAAATCAGCGCTGATCTTTGTGATCACACACAAATAGATAGCACAACTACCCAAATGGTTCTTGCTCACGAACACTCAACAACGCTGATCCCTAATCAAGGCCCATCAACATGGTAGGCTTGAGAATCGCTCGCTTGCAAGGCTGAGACCACACCATTACAAAGTGCTTGAACTGCTTGCTTTCGATCCCACAACATCAATGCTTGCTCATCGCAAATCTGCAGAAGGATGTCGCTGTCGCTTGCTAGCCACTCATTTAACTCTTGAAGCTGTCGCTGCTCATCCTCAAGTCGTATCTTCTCGGCAGACTTGAGGACGTAGCATTTCCACAGGCAAAAGTACAAGTCGAGCAGTTTGAGGGCTGGTGTAGGCAGGGCGTCGTTGTGGTATATTAGCTTCATGAACTCCGCCGTAAGGGAACCGGGTTTGCTCACTGGAACATATGCAGCGTTAGTAATCTTGTTCGTTTGCTATCGAAGAGGGTATGACCGACCTCGGGTTCGATGACTGCGCCGTTTGAAGATTGCTGTGGGTGGCTTTGCAACTTGGGCTCATCTTCTGGGTCGTGGGAAACCCGGCACTGTCTCTTAGCTGGCCGGTCACATAGGCAAGGCGAAGTGGGATGGTCCATCGTGGCCTTTGGGGAATGAAATGCAAGAGAAAAACCAGGGACAGCAAATACTCAAGTTTTCCGTAAGACTTCGTATACCTGCGTTTCACGAAAGACTATTTTTTATGAGCTAGATGTGGTTGCCTTTCCGATAACACACTCATATGCTACAGAGGTTTAAACGAAGCACCATACAACCTGCAATTCCCAGGTGGTGTAAATCAGTCCGTACTTTCCTCCGACTGTGCTTTTACTGAAAATAGCAACTTCCTCGAGGCGGCGGCATGTAAATGCGGTCATCTCTACCCCGACGATGAAACTGCTCATCAGCGCAAGACTCGTCCAGAATTTCCCCGATCTGCAGCCTCAGCGAACAGCATTGTGTGCGACATTGCGCATTGCGGGGTTGGGGCTGATTGCCCTGATTATTTCCTGCCTCTCGTTGACGAGCCGCTCACTGAGCTGGTCTGCATTCTAGATTCAGTCAGCTAGCAACGTTACTGTCACGCTTGCTTCTTCCCTAGCCTGGTCGGTGGCTGCCGCATCTATGATCGGCCAGGTGCAAAAATCTGCAGTGCAGTCATACGATCATCGGCATGGTCAAAGCCCAGATTCCATTCCCACACAGGACGACCGCGACTCTTCCAATCAGAGTTGCTGATCACAAAGCCACGGCCACACCACATATGATACTTCGAAGGAGGAAACTAAGGGCCTTTTCATGCTATTCAATATGCACTTTGGAGTGTGGGGTCCTGACACCAAGCCCTGGACCCGTCATGCAAATCAAAAGGCATCATTAGGCTGCGGTAGCTACGATGTAACACGGCCTTCGGCCCAGTCCGTTTTCAATGCTGTAAACAGAACCTCGTCAACATGTCGCTCAATTTTGCACACAACGGCGCCTTTTGGGTCTGCAGCAAGGTGGTGTAATAGATCCTCTCTGCCCTAATACCGAACTGCATATCTCTGGCAGACATAGCAATCGACATCCGGTCGATGCGGGGATGTTCCTGCAGATGCTTAAAGAGCAGCTTGACAAGGATCTAGACCATAATTTCACTCTGATGGGATTTCGTGGGTCTTTCAGTGCGCCGTTCAAAGTCACTAGTGTCACGACGGGTATACTATTGTCGGTAAAGCCACTACCTCACAACGCTGGAAGGAGGTGTCGCGAGAAGCGGATGTTTACCGTATCCTTCACCGCGCACAAGGATCGGCGATTCCAGTTTTCCTGGGAGTGATTGACCTAGCCGGCGTCTACTTCCTACATGGCGCTGGAGATATACGCCACATGCTCCTTATGGGTTGGGGTGGTGAAGATTTGAGCCATCTCAAGCCCGAGAAGTCGCTCCGTCCTGCGATTGAACGGTCGTTGAAGGAGATAAATTCTTTAGGTGTCCTCCACCAGGATCTTCGACAAGAGAATATTCTATGGAATGCTGAACTAAATCGGGCCCTAATCATTGACTTCCATCGATGCAGCTTGGTTCACCGACCGATGGCAGGCTCTCTCAAACGAATACGATGTGCTCCTAAAGAACGGAAGTCAAAAAGAGTGCGTGTGGTCTGAGCGAAGCTCCTGGAAAAGTCAAGCAGAGAATCAAATCTTACTGTTCGTCCCCACAGGGAATTTCAGGAGCTTGGATCAAAACTCTCTAAGGCATTATTAGTTAAGTTTCATCCAGGGAACCTATTCATCGCCACTCCTTAATGATCCCACCGAGATCATTATCGAGATTTTATGTGTCAAAGCATAAGCTACTCTTGCTGGCAGCCAAAAGTGTGAAATATTGCCCAGGCCCGGATCAAATTATCAACTTTCTGTTGAAAGGAAACCCAAGAGCACTATGCGAGGTCGATTTTCACGGGAAAATCGTATTCTTCAGAAAAATAACCTCTCGGAAAGATGAGCTCTGCATCGACTGCTTCTTAACTGTGGTGCCAATCCACTCCAGAAGAATCTGAGCGGTGATACACCATTGGGTGAGGCGGCCCTCCCTTCCACTCCCTTGCTCCCGCGTCGCGAAGTACGTTCTCGGATGGTACATACGAAGGCTGTTGGCTCGACTTTGCTTCCGTTTGCCTTGTTGCCCTCCACGTCTCGCCTAGTTTGCTCTGTTTGCTCGACTTCGCTTCCATCCGCTTCCATCCGCTTCCACTCTCTCCCCTTAGCTTCCTTCCCTCCCTGTTGACGATAAGCGATTCTGGCGCATAAATCTATGGAGCACACACCTGCAACAAAGGCGTTCCCTTTGAATTCCGCTCGAATGTCGATTTGTCATCTTAACTCCCAGCGCTGATTCTCATGGACTATGGCTCACAAGGCTCAGATCGACCTGGCAAATCTCTAAATGCTTCTGAATCAAGGCGTTCCATAACAATTTTAGATATATATATCCATGACCAAAAATAAATCCTGGTGCGATTACCAGCAGAGAGCGTCTATAGATGCAGCAATCAATTCCCCGTTACTTCCATATTCTCCTCATACTTCGCCCCTAATTCTCTTAAAGTTATCCGTAATGGAGTGGGATAGGTAAGGGCCTAAAACCATCAGCATATCCAGGAGGTTCCAGGGATAATTAATACCCCACCCACCAAGTCATCTCGGGAAGGAATCGGTCATTTGAGTTAAATATGTAGGTTTGTCCATTTTTTCTCAGCCGAAATACCAACATAACATCTGCGTCGCATTCTTGGCTAGATTCGAAGGCTTTCCGGAACAAAGTATTCCCTCGTCGTCGACGTTGTTGACTTTTGGCCTTCGATTTATTAGATTTGCGGCGGCGGATTATCTTTGGTTTTGCCATAACGGGTGTTTTGTACACTTTTGTAATTAGAAAAGAGGCTATGTCTAGTCCAAAGTCTAGGAACCTTCTTGGCTTTATGTATTCTCTGCGCTCACCCTGAGGGGGTGAATGGTTCACCTTCTGAGGGTGAGTATCGCGCGATTGAAATTAGAAAGCCAGAAGCGGAACAGTATTTTAGAGCTCCCGAGAGTAAGGTAAACTTGTTTTGAGTAAGTGCACCTGCCAAGCTTTTTGTCGGGTAATATATTTGGTTGAGCAGGGTGAGCGCGTTGATCTGTGGGCGATCAACGGCTGATCGCCAGGGTGATTCACTCACCCCTCTAAAAAGCCCTTGGAGTTGAAATATCGTCTTTGAACGGGTAAACATCGGCCATTATTGCCCCACCATCAATTACCTCTCATCAGAATATTGCTGCCTAACATTAGCCTTCACTATCCACTCTACAGTACCCAGCGTGTTGCTAGGCGAGTCGGTTTGGAAGTTTCGAGAGCGTTCTGGCAGCAATGGAGGGAGGTGAGAAAGTCGAACAGTGATGCGCTAAGCCACATCTGCCTGCCTCAGAGTCGGTTCAGGAGCGCTGAGATAGATTGGTCAGAATAATTCTTTGTGCTAGCAAAATTTATCGGGAGGAGTCTACAGTTTGCTGAAGCTTGTGATATCTGAAACACGAGCGCTGTTTTGCTAAAAGTTTAAAGTGATTCTGATTGGTTTAAACTGATTCCCCACTTCAGGGCATCAGCGGACCGAAGTCGGGACTGAGCAAAGCCGAAACAGATTCCGCGTCACCTTCCTGTAGCTGTCCAAGCCTATGTAGAAACGGCAAAGGCCTTCATGATTTGAGCTCAGGCACTCCCTGGCTATGTCTTGCATCCTCCATCCCCAGTAGACGCGGGTTCGCCTGCGGGGTCTAAGGATGAACACTTTCCAAGCTGGGGGATGATATCCTCCAGTACCTCCTGGATGGGAGAGGGGTAGCATGCTGCCTAATGAAGTCAGCTTGATAAAATGAAATACCCAATGGACCATACCAAGTTTGACAATGTACTTAGCCTTCGTGCATCCGAGGATGACTCAAAAATATATAGCTGACCAGATTGCTGGACTCGAATAGCCACAATGACATCAGATTCGCATTCCAAACTAAACTCTACCGCTTTCTTAAATAAACATTTCCTCTGTCTAAGTCTCTGTTGGGCTTTTGCTCGAGCGCTCTCGGACTGACGCTTTTTTACCCAAGAAGATTTCTTAGACATCGCTTCCCTTGTTAGATGAATACCCAAAGTCTTAACATGGGTGACATTGGCGTCTTTTAAATCTTTGTCCTCGGGCTTTAAGGACCACTGCGGAAGCACTGAGGTTTCTGGTGTTTTCGGCCCGCAGCCGCACCGCAGTCGCACCACAGCAGGGCCATCTTGTAGCTACTCGTACTATAAAAACCCCACGGCTCTTCACGCTGGTGTCTGCCGTCTATTCTTCCCTTGCTTTACTTGGCCGCCTGTCCTTAAGTCGAACAAAGTATGGATGCGATAGCGATTTATGCGATCACCGCTGGCGGGATTTTTGCTACACTTTTCTTAACGCGGACTCTTTGTTAACTCGCCAAGTGGTCAAAGTTTTTCTCTATTCTAGTTTCTCGACATCTAACACTCCCTTTTATGGTTGATAGACACCAGCTATGGGGTCCATGGACCCTAATTAGTGCCCTTCTTTACGTATCTTATGCTATTATCAACCTTTTTCTGATCCTTTTCAGGATGAAATCCTGGTCTGGTGCTGGCCGCCAGGCAGGAGAGCTGACCCTAGTCAACCTGATTTTCCTTTTATCAGCCACCCATCTGAGCTATCTGGCTGACCTTGTAAGCATTACATGTCGCACTTGTCGCCGGATTCATCGTGCCGTTGGCTGGATGACTGTTGCCCTAGTATCATTTCACATTGTTGTGGAGGTGCAGAACAAGCAATTTAGCTTCCCACTCCACTCGATGCAAAACCTCTTTACCCTCATTGTATGTAATATTCACGACACCAAGTGCTCAACTAATAGGATACAGGGTGCCTGTTCACTGGGTGTCCTTTCCCTGCTCTCTATTCCATGGTTTCGGCATTTCTCGTACGAGATCTTTCTTTGAGGACATCAAATCCTCACAGCGCTCTTTGTTTATGGAATCTGGCGACATCTTCCAGCCCGGAACCAGCCCTCAAAAATCTGCCTCCTGGTAGCGCTGGGGATCTTCGGACTGACCTTATTTCTACAGACAATGACCCTCTTCTATCGAAACGGGCTGTTCGCCGGCCATGGGTTCCTAGGGCTGTTGTTTCCTTTAGTGCTAAGAAAACTAAGGAAGAGCATCCTGTTATAACAGCTGCCCATATCCGTATTCTTCTGCCTCGGCCTTCGAAAGTGGAAGCTGGCCAGTACATTAACCTCTTAATGCCATCAATCAGTCTATCATCATGGATGCAGACACATCCCTTTACAGTGGTATCATGGTCAAGAGATAGGCAGGATACCATAGAGCTCCTCCTCCAACCACGCGATGGCTTGTCTGCCGACCTTGTTGGCTACGCGCCCGCTGCGAAAGAAAGCTCGATTTATTTCCTAGCCTTGTTCACCGGCCCTCATGGAATGGTCGAAGATGTCAGTCATTATGGAAGCGTCTTGGTCGTCACTAGTGGATTTGGGATCGCAGCAGCAATTCCATACCTTAAGAAAATGATCTATGGTTATGATACCTGCACCTCCCAGGTTCGCCGACTCCATTTGATGTGGGAGGTAAAGTCCGTTGTCGAGATGGCCGTGGCCCAGACCCTGCTGAATAACCTCCTGGAAGACGACATCATGAATAATGGCTATGTTCGTACCAAGTTTCATGTCCGGGCACTCCACCTGATGCTGACCACAATCATGGTTCTAAATTCTCCAGATCTCGATCTACGTCAGGGACGGCCTTGGACCAAACCGACTTCCTTTCGGTGAGCATGATCGGGTTCTGTCTTTACCAGGGACTGCCCGATTATCAAAATATTGTATCCCTTGAGGCGTCTGGCGACCAGATTGAAAGGTTGCCTAATGTCCGGGACAAGCAAGGCAGGACGTTGGTGATGGGTAAGTCATCTAAATGCCCTCATGAGCTACGCACTGAAAATATCTGTCTAGTCTCCGCAGCCGACGGAGTGCGAGATCACATACGGAAGACAGTACGAGGACGTCTTCATCAGGGCGTGAAACTCTTTGAACTCGAGTACCAGCCGTGCGCTGTCTGAGAGCATTGTCGGACATGGGAGGGCTGCTGGGTTGGGACTGGAATCATTCACGAAGGTAAGTCTTCCGATCCTGGAATGATATGTGTTGGGAGCTGTGGGTGACCGTGGGTGGTGTAGGGGGGAATCGCTGAATGGGATGCCATTGGAATGAGCGCAGCCATTCGGCTGAGTAGCTTACTAGTCACTAGTTTATTTAACGTTACATTATTACTTGTTTCCAGTTTCCTTGCCTGTTGGCTGTCTGTTATGTTGGCGTGATATAAACTGTTATGTCTTTACATGAGGTCATATGTGCGGCGCGAGTTTGGTTCCTAAGTCTATGTTTGATATAAGCAAACCCACGCTGGTTAGATCTGTTCCGCTTTTATCAAAAGTTATATTTCTAGGTCCTACAAGAACTATTTATCTAGGTAGCTTGTTCTTGTTTTGGCATAACATGTCATCCTTCTCACTCTAGTTTGAATGGTGGGACTATTGTTGATTCTAGAGTTATACATTGTTTATACTGATCGGGGGCGTACTTCTACTAGAAGGGCTTTGAATTGAGGTATATTTTATATCTAAAACAAACGCCACTAGCGGTACCTTTTACAGGTGCCGTACCTTGGCAGGAGGTTGAAAGTCGGTAAGCGCGCAGACTTAAATAGACTGTTAAGACATTAAGGATCGCGCCACTAGTCTCAACAGAGATACTTGCGTATGTTGAGCTGAGATGTCGCTTCTAGCGGTACATTCATCTATGAGGTTGGTGCAGATGCTTTGTCATGAAAGAGGCAAGCTGTCACAGCGGGTGCCTCAGGCCACCGCGACAGGCTTCCGACCCGTGGCGTTCCTGCTCCTGCTGCTTGTCGCGATGGTAAGAGCCTGATGGCATGGCTAAATCCGGGAATGGAGCTGTTTTTTGGCTTCTAGCACCACTGCCGCGCGAAGATTACTCAGATTATATTGAAGTACTATAAGAATGGCCATTAGATATCCAAGGGCCGGCGTGAGACGCTCTTTGATAATATACTGTGAAGTAACCTCCTGGAGCAGGAGATGAGTAAAGCATGCCTCATGCAGGAAATGTAGGTTTTGGTCTCCGCGGGCGTAGAGATAATGGGGCGGGATCTCGTACGAGACGACCACGATCACCGCGGGAGTCGACCTCTTGCGCACAAAGACATATATCATGACTGATTAGGGGTGGGTTACATCGTACACGAGGCCTGCTCTTCCAACTAACGAACTGGGTAGGGGGTCTTCTTCGAAGGTCTGGATTGCGCTTGGTGGGGGGCTTGTTGGACTTTTGCTGATCATTGGAGCGGTCTGGTTCTGAATGAGGAGGCGGAAAGCGAAGAAGGCGCAGAGTCGGGGTGAGCCGACAGGGGATATAGCGGATTTGGAAGGTGGATTTATGGTTGATGATATTAGTAAACTAGATGTGAAGAAGAGCGAGTTACCTGTGAGGGAGGATGCAACTATGGAGTTGTCGGCTGCAGAAAGGGCAGTTGTTAAGGGAAGAGCGCACAGAGCGGAAGAGAGAGATGGTATATGGACCCCCTCCATAGGACTGTTTGGACGGATATCGCAACGCTTGTAAGGATGATCGGCTGGTTAGATCAATGTTCCTACGGTAACGACTGTGTAAATAAAGCTATATGGAGATAGAAGCTACTCGTTCCGAAATTTCCCACAGGCCCCATGTCTTCGACGGACAGAAAGCAAATGCTCGCCGCGCTCAGCCATCGTAACCGGCTTAGGAGGGGTCGTATTAATGTGAACCATCTGGATACTCTTAGGCTTGTGGAACCTCCAAACGATCAACATCCGGTCCCCAGCCACTGACCCCGGAGATCTTGACAACATTCTTTCCAGCCTGCAGCTCAACGTGCACCACGCTACGATCAGCCTGATTCCAAATGAGGGTGGTAGGCAGGAAAGCAATCGTCTGCGCCTGCCCATTCACCTCCACGGCTGCGTACCGATCCCCGCTCACATACCTCACAACAAGCGTAACAGGCCCTGCTTTCTCCGCGTTGACCTCAAAGGTAACAGCCCCATCGACACCATTGCTATCACCCCCAATCCACCCGGCCGCCTGACCCTCACTGCACTCCCAGCAACCGACAACCCCCGCACCGCCACTGAGGACTCCATCATTCTCGCCCTCGAATGCCGTGATAGCAGCACCGGGCTTCCACGTTCCCGCGGCGACATCCACGCTCCACGAATCGTGCCAGTTCAGAGTCACGGTTGTGCCGTCGATGATCAGCGGAAGCCAGACGTACGTGCTCGCGGCCAGGTTATGCTCTACCCATCTATCACCCATGTAGATTGCCCCGTTGGTGCCTAGCGGTAGGATATAGCTTGTCTGGCTTAGGTGTGTCTTTGAGCCGGCGGGGGCGAAACTGGCCCAGGATGACCACGGGCCTGAGAGTGAAGTTGCAGTGCTGTAGATCTATTCAAGGATTTGATGTATTAGAGTCTCGAGAGGTTAGAAATAGGGAAGGGGTTGGAATATTGGGTAGCATAGCATACATTATCATTCGGCGCCCACCCCGTCATCCACGATCCGAAAATATAATAAGTATCACTGCGCTTCACGAACGCCGGCGACTCAGCCCAGACGCCTTCGAAGCCAAATGTGATCTCTTTGATGCCCAGGTAGTCGTCCGTGAGCTTCATGATGCGCGTGCCGTATTCGCGCTGGGTGTTGTATTGTTAGTTTGGAACAGATTTGTAGTTTCCTCCACCATCTCTTTTTTTTTATATATATATCTTTCTCTTTCGCTACATCCTAAGAGGGAATTTGTAGGAAAGGAAGAAACAACTCACATCCTCAGTAAGTAAATACCCCGACCCATCGTCATCCTTAAAATGCCCAATGTCGCGACTCTGCTTATCCAGCGGCCGGAAACTGCCCTGGTACGCGTACTCACCGCAGACGGTATCGCTCGTCGCGACGCCGGTCCGCGCGTCCGTGTAGTCAGGCGAGTCGACGTGCATCCACATGACGTACTTGCCCGTCTTGTCATTTCTAAGCACTTTGGGCCGCTCGATCAGCCGGTTTGGTCCGATGTCGGTTCCCGCGCCTGCTGCGCTGTCGTCGCGGCTAAGGAGGCGGCCTTCAAATGCCCAGTCAATCAGGTCTTTCGACGAGTAGCAGTTCACGGCTTGGAAGAGGTGGCCTTCAGTCTTTTCTTCGCCGATCATGTAGTAGATGCCGTTTTCTTCGCTGGTGCGGCTGTGTTAATAGAGAGTCTTTGGGTTGTAGGTCGGGTTCATCACCGGCCCGAAATACGAAACGAACTCACATGATGCCGGCGCCGTGGGCCTGGATATGTTTGCCTGTGTTGGCCTAAAGAACGATGAGTATGTAGGTCCTCGATCAAAACTAGGGCAGTTGTATATCGTACAGCGGTCCATGTCGCTCCAGGGACAAGTTCGAGAGCGGCTTGTGTGAAACTAGCGAGGAGCAGCCCCCCAAGAAGCCAGCGAGACGAGTACATCATGCTCATAACGTGCATTGTTGGTATCTGTGTAAAAGTGGGAATGGATCCCGATTCTCTTTGGTCGCAGTTTATGAATTAAGCAGGCAGGGTCATTGCAATCCTTTTATAGTTCTCTGAACTCGGTCAGGCATACACGTGACATCCATGGACGATATGGTCTGTCCCCGTTAATGAAAGCTGACAGAGTCTGTGTGTGCCAGTGCGCTCGAACAAAAAAATGTGGCGTTGTTTTCAGCATGATTAAACCGAGACAAACCGGAGAATTTATCCTAGAGTGGTCGAGCTATTGGATCTTCTTCAGTGTGCCAAGGCCTCAAAGACCGCATTGACAAAAAGCGGACAGTGGCGCTTCGGGTGGGATTGCTAGATTGTGGATACGAGACAAGGGCGCTTTGGGTCTAAAATAGCTCCTGACTATTGGAGTCTGTTTATACGTGATAACCGTGGGGATATGAGTCCCTGTTCAGGACGTCGGCCAAGTTCGTCAGTATTATGTGGGCGGCTTGCTTCACCGTGGGGTAAGTGCTCCCTTGATAATTTAGGTACGCCAGTAGACACTGTATTCAATTCGTAACTGTTTGTATCGATTTTCAGCCTTAGGGAAAGCTAGTCATCCTCTTTAGAAATTTTTATGCAGCTTTAATGGATTTCTAGCTAAGATTATGTTTCAGCTGATACATGGCTCTATGGAAATGCCAGGGTTTTGGGCGAAGATCTTGGGTCTCTTGCTCGCAATTCATGAATGATGGAGCCAGGGCCAGGGCAATCTTTTTATCCCTGCCCACCCTCAGTCAGGGTTGTATAACATTGGTGTTTCAGAGCCCGTTCACACGAGAATTCACGGCCAGCCTGTGCTAGTGCGCTCGAACAAAAAAGAAACAGCACCCATTCAGCCATGATTGAGCGGAGAAAACACGGAGCATTTCCTTGGTGCTGTGGAGCCACGAACGAGGTTTATCCTGGCTTCGTCCCTGTTGCAATCCTTGCTGCAAGGAATCGAAGCCCGCGTTGACAAATCTGCAGGAACTACCCCGCAAACAAGCGGATAGTACCATGCTTCGGGGATACCGGACCTGCCGGATGCAAGTGTCAGTCTGCCAAGTAGCGGGGATTGGGAAAATGGAGAGAGCAATTGTCCTGAAGGAAATAATGATTAGCGCTGATGACCCTTTTTTTAGGCCAAAGTCTTTCGGGCCCCGGGACTTGTGGTATGATGCCGTTCGAGGGAGTTAATCTACCTAGCTATTGCCCAGACTCCGCCTCGGCTTTGTCTAGATAGTAAGGTACTCTGGGACTCACATGAATAGGTAGTGATTAATGAAGCCGATTTTCACGTTATGACCGCGGGGGTCTGAGTCAAAATGGTATCGGGGTATAGGTGACTTGGCTGTGGGTACATGTGCCCAATCAAAAAAAGTAATTATGACTTATTATTGTTATGCAGGGCCATGATGCATATTTATTTTCTCTGCACCCCCAACCACCATATTAAACAAAAAGCAAAGACCCTAACGCCATCATAACATAAGGCACGCGGACTATGATCGCTGTCTTACTCAGACTGGCAGTGTGCTGAGTCCGTAGTGGGCCCTATGTAATAATAGCGCCGTGATATCGGTCAGACATGGCCGTGCCTCTTCGCATTCCTGTGGCTATCTATGTTGGCCCCAATTGGCATGCTGCGGATGCGTGCGTGGAATTCGACCCTGCAGCTTCCTTGTGGATCGGTATCTGTGGCTCTCAATTATTTTAAGACACCACCGACAGTGCGGTCTGGTTTTATCGGCTTAAAGTACATTTATGACTGTATGTCCTGCAAGAATACAGGTGCGCTTCCATGCTGCTTGCTATAGCTGCTGGGATATTGAGAAGAAATTGGGCAATGCGATCCAACCTCTGTCTTTGCCGTGAATTTTCGCCTCCAGCAACTGTTTCCTCACAAGAAAATCACAGAAACAAATAATATGCAGAGTATATTCGATGGTTAGGTCAAGTCCGCCTCCTACTGTAATAGGGGTTTGCAAGGGGTCACAAAGGGTCTCTGGAGGTGTGGCCCGTCTTTATATCTCCGACCCTAATCCACTCCATAAGCTTAGCCGCCGTGATATTCAACATTTCGGATCCCTAGGATTGGCCTTTGCAGGCTATCGATCTTGGCCTGGGGCAAGTGGCATTCCAATAGCTAATCTGAGCGATCTGCACGATTAGACCATTGGTTCCTAGCGTCAGGTACGATTATGAAGCGAGTGGCGATAAATCAAGGAAATTGGAACCACCTGCTCGTACAAGGATGAAATGTGACTTGATTCGACCCTTACTAGGGCCTGTAGTCCTACGAACATTAGCTGCCGAGCTTCCAGGGTCCCGTTCTTGTCCAATCGCTTGATCTTGCTAACAAAATAGGCCTGATTATTTTGCTTCAAGTTAACACATAATCTAGACCTCGGTGGCAAGGACTCGATAAGATCCGGGCACTATCACTGACTTGCGTCCTTGTTTCGAGGTGTTTCTAGCCCGATATAGGCTAGTAACCAGGGTGATCAAGTTTATGCCACGCAGAACTTCGTACTGAGGCAATTATCATATGATTGAGGAGATTTGAGCCGAGTAAACCATCAGCGGCGCCAGCCTGGTTCTTTCACAGGCGCAGGGCTTCTGTGATTTTTGATAGCTACTTAAGAAAGACTCATTCCTCTTCTTGTTCTCAACAACTTGACCAAGCTTCGTTTTCCAAACCTATCACTACACGGATCTTCAGACTCATTCCCAAGAATAATTATTCTACTCAAACTTCAGAATGCATTTCCTGTCTGCTATTGCAATTTTCGTTACCCTTGGGGCAGTCAGTGCCGCCCCAAATGGTGGAACCGGCTCCCAGTGTACCACCGAGCAGGCTAATAAATGTTGCACCGGTCTCACGAAAGGCGTTCTGAACATTGACATTCTGCCTGCACTCTGTCTTCGTAAGTCTTTGCTTCTCACGTTTTTGAATACTGTTGATTGTTTACAGCCTTGATTGATAATTGCAATAACCAGGCAGCATGCTGTGAGACAAATGGAATTGTTAAATACCTGTCCTTGGCTTTTATTTCCATTTTAGAACTGACATCATATAGGGACTTCTGAACTGCCTGACTGTGCAGGTTTAGTACCGGAAGCCCCACAGGATGCGAGGCGTGCAACCATCTTGAATAAGGGAGACCGTGGAGGCCGACAAACGAGCAGATCACATAAGTTTATTTAACACTCTTTAAGCATAGCATCACCATTCAACATTTTGATCTACTACAAATTAACACCGTTTGCTGTTACCACTACATATACTTTATGGCGACCTATGAGTTCGTTAAATTTCCGCAAGATAATTTCCCCAGCAGCCCAAACCTTAGAAGTGAGCTCGAGGGCGCAGAGAAGCTGATTGCAGTCGTCGAGATGGTTTGTAGAAAGGGCTTACCTTCCAAAAATGGCTTTAAATTGGACGGGGCACTTACTCTGAGGAATGAAAAGTATCAAGCTCAATCCAGCAGGAAAGATGGCAAGGTCTCCAACACTGCTCCGCAGTCATCTCTCTCGCAAATCCAAATGCGCGAAACAGCCCCAGACATTGAAAGTATCTTTCTTGAGCGCAAGTCACGGCTCACGTCGCCTCGGATCTCGGATGTACTATGTTGGCCGTAGCCTTGTCTTCCCACAGATACCACCCGTCCAGCACATACTCTTTGATGAGACACACTCTGGACAGACCATATTTTAAAACATGGCCCTTCGAGGTCTGCTCGGCGATCAGAGTAGGGCAAACCACATGCTTTGTGCCCAGGCCTAGCACACCCAATCCTTCCGACTTTTAGACCGGCAACTGTTCCATCTCGGGGACTCCCGCCTAGGTTGGGTCAACAGATGGTTTGACGGATTGAACTTGCCATCTTCGTCGGGTTCAACCCATCGAAGTTATTGGTCTACCTAGCGTTTCGACGTGTATGTCCAGAAGTGAATCTTTCACCGACAAAGCGTAAGCACGGGCGTCGATCCTATGAATACCCACTACCATTGCAAGAGCCATGCGGAGAACGAGTAGTAGTAATACAGGTAAAAAGGACGGTCCGGAGCTTGCCCGTGGCTGAGCCTAACGAGGTCTCCAGCGAGCGGTGTCTTCGAGTCTTAAGGAGTTGCGAGCCTTAACGAGGTCTCTGGGCCTTGAACGAGGTCTGTCCGGTATCAGCTTGACTGCCTGTGTCACCGGTTCACTACCTCCTCGCCACATCCCGCACGATGCGATCCCAGACCGTATGCAAGCTCAGGGGTGTCCTGTCTTCTTTTTAGGGCGACACCACTTTCACTGGTCTTGCAAGACCAAATTCTGGGCCCGAGTGCGAGTCCGGTAAAAGAAGTCGGATGGATTTCATATCCCGTTGTCCCCTGATTTTGGTGTGGTTGTGCGGTCGTGCACCGCGCCGACCGCACCGACCCGGACCGCACAACCACGGCGGATTCACTTTGGTCTCCCCAACTGGGATTAACACCGGACACCACGAGAAGGTATGAATCCGTTGTCCCAACAGCCTGGCGAGGACTGTTGCCTAGTGCGAGCTCACTTGGGGCGAAGTCATACAGCATGTATGTATGTATGTATGACTTTACCCTGACCCCCCGCTAAGTTGAAAGCGATCTTCCACTACTGTATGACTTCATCGCTTTCAACTTGCCACAACAACAATGTCTGCAGGATATGCAGGACAAATAAGGAGGGAATCGTAATAGAAAGGCGAGAAGGCCAGAAGCTCACGGACTGCAAGACGAGTGGATAGACGGAGACAGGGCAGTGCTTGGCGTCGGCTTAACGCCCACGAGCTTCCTAGGATCTGTCACTTGAAAGTTGCACCGGAAGTTTATTTATATTTTGTATCTCAAGCGTACACTCGGGGGGTTCTTCATGAAAAACATAAAGTACAACACCTCGTCCAACTGGGTCAATCCTTGCTGACTCGGATCCCACAACAGGAAGACACCCTCATATTCCCATCACTCGAATGCGAAGCGAGCGAATGTCTTGTCTGCTCGAGCTCCCCTGTACAAATGCGATCGAGTGCTCTGTCATTTCCACTATGACTACTGGTAGCATCGACGATGAGTCACCGTACGGTTCATATCGTCTATCCCGCTTCTTTCTCCCAGCCGTTTCTGTGCATCAGGTCATGTGCTGATGTGTCTACCTGATACAACTCCAAACTCCAACGGGCTCATACTACCGTGTGTCTCTCGGCATTCAACACCGTGAAAGAATAGCCTCCTTGTAGATTGGATTCCTGGCGCCAATGGGTGACCATCGTTGCCCTCGGATGCTGTATAGCGTATTTTCAAACCTGGAAATCCGACAGACACCGGGAGGAGCCGATGTTTCGTCATGCTAGAGCCGTACCTTCATACACGACGAGGTTGTTAGTCGAGTCTGCTTGCAAGGAGAAGGTGAGCCGAAAATCCCGCCACTACTAGCCGGCTAAGTTAACAATAACCATCTCAGCTTCGAATCGAGTGGACAAGACCGAGCACAGCCGTACCAAACAGAGGGCCCAACCACCGTCTGATACAGTCCCACCTGATCCCTCTCCGCGTTGCTCAGCTTGTCGACATATACGAGCGAGCGGGATTGAACATTCGGACATACAAGGAGCTGCATACTATCAAAAGTGTTTGTCTCATCCCTGTTGGACCGAAGGTTGGTAGATTTGATTCCTAAACTTGCCTTTTTTCTGTCCAAGCACAAGCACTATGTGCAAAGCCTATATACTTTGAATGTCACTGCAGCTGAATGTCAGTCAAGCTATCGTGTATCCTTTGTCCATCGAGACCGTCCTTTAACACATCGCCATTGGTGACGCAAGCAGGTCTTGCCAGCAAATCGCCGAAGGCTCTACGTCCCCCGGGCCCACTGTTCTTTGAGCATCGATGATGCTTCCTCAAACTCATCGCGTCCCGGACGATATCTGGCATATCACTGTTCGAGCAATTCACCGTGAAGGTGGGTTTGATGTCTCTAACAACACCACAAGAGCCATCGGGTTGTATCACCTCTTGGACTATCCCGTTCAGCCTATACTGGACTTTCTACCCCAAATAAGCGGTCATGTCATGTTTGCTTTGGGGAGGATGGGTCAAGGGCGTGCCTGATACGACCACACGTAAATTAGAGCAACCCCGTGCGGATATCACCCAACCCTGAGCGGTGATCGTGGACAGATGTCTTTACCAGGTCTGGTTTCAGATGGCTAGTTGGACCCCAATTGGACTTCAACCGTGTTTTACCAGCAGCGGAGAATGAAGTATCGCATGACTCGGGAATACGCCCCAGAAAGTAATGGCCGTGTTACGCCCACCATACAACGAGTAAGTAAGTAAGTTGTCGGAACGTGGTCGTTACAGTATGGACTAGTACGGGCATAGCCAATTGAGTTCTTGAGAGTGTGATTTTTATATACTATAGAAAGTGCAGAATAAATAGGGGATGAGCTTAGTAAGGTCGTTGAGAGCCTTAGGATCATCAGGCAGATGGGGGTGCTGAATATTCCGGGCGCACTAGTAAAATTGCGACCCTCTTTTGTTGACATGAAATATTGCGGTTTTGTCATTTTAGTTAGTTAGTTGAAGAATTCAATACCCCTGAGGTGACCCATACATTGTCGTACAGGCAGATTTCTGTCAAAATATATATTTTGATCAACAAGCCATGGAATATCTCTAAGCTTCTTTTAGAGGCTGGGTATCACCCAAAAAGCATTAGGCTAGATGGGAATTCCCATATTAACCCATGGTTGTTGAAATATCAATTTGTACTCTATCGCACTCTGCAGGATCAGGTCCCGTGGAGTGATATTCAGCTGTTGTTGGATCAGGCACACGGGGAATTGGTGTCAACGACCACTCAATTTTGGAACACGGTCGATGCCCTCCAGAACAAACGACTGTCATCTTATTTGCCGGGCTCTGGGGTCATTCACGCAGACTGGCCCGAGCAGGGAGGCGTGGCTACGCAGGGCCACGAGTTCCCCCTCAGTCTCTCCGAATCGAATATCCCGCTTCTTAATCAGCAAGAGCCGTCTGCGACCAACCAGAATGGATCTCTTGTCTGAAGAGGGATCAATATAAATTCTTTTAGACCTAGTTAATCGTGCAGTAGAACTGACTGTTCAGCATATAGCCAGTACGCAAATGGCTTATGACAAAGCATTTGGCAGCATCTCCACCATACCATGACCAGTTAGAAGTAACCGATTAAGTGTAATGCAACCCGATTTTAGTCCTTTACCGGAGGTTAGCCTTTTACTTTTGGCAAAGTCTGGAAAGGAGGATGGGAGAAAATTGCATATGTGGCTCTGCGAGTTTCAACGGAAAGTCAGCACATCTTGTGCGCACTCTCATCGTTCATTCTTGATCTTTGGCAGAAACCTGCCATGAATCAAATTCACATCCAGCCAAAACACGTGTGGAGCAGTTTTTTCCATAGTAATGATTTTCAGACACTGTACCGCTTTTATCAAACGTCAAGGATCTTGTTTTTGCAATAGTCTCGACCGATGTCAAATCATTTGCAAAAACGTACGATACTTAAATAATACCCTAAAGTTTCGTTGGTCCAGGCAAGGCTTTCGAGATGCAGACCTGGGTATGGAAATGGTGCGACAAAAAGAGTACAAATGAACAACAAGGCTTGAACTGAAGAAAACTTAAATGACTCGCTTAAATTACCTCACGACTATAGCCGGTTGGCCTCGGGAAATCCTTTCGGTACACTAACTTACATTTCCATTCATATTCCTAAGGTGTTGCGTAGCTTGGTGGAGGATTGGCGAAACAAGAGGTCTAAATGCACAATGACAAGATGGTACAGGAGTGGACACGCTGTCAGTTTGGAATCGAGCCCATCGAGACATATTTAGCGGCCAACTAATGTACGGGCGTCTATTCGCTTCCTCGCATTCTTCTCCATTTAGTCCTTGGCAGTCGAGTCACCTCAGGGCAAGCACGGGCTGATACCTTGCTCTGATCCAAATGGCCGGAAATCAAACTTTAATCACTGTTGCCCCGACGAAGAGATCGCCGGATGCTCTGGTCCTCGGTGGCTTTGTTGTTGCCCCGTTTTGCCACTTTCTTCATCTCAGTCTCCACGATCGCCAATCGAGCAAAGATATCAGCCAAGTCGTTGCGAACGGTTTCATTGCAGGTGCTTTGGACATACGATGAGCTCTCAATGGACCTGTATAGAAGATTAGCGCTTTATGTTTTCACCCGAAGGTTGATCCACAACTGACTTCATTCGGGTATTTAGACTGGATATTGTCAGCAGGCAATCCGAAATCAGACCTCGCGATGGGGACGGCGAACACCATCATGGTGTGAAGGCGGTGAGGTTGAGGCGGAAGACGCACGCGTCGTAGTGCCTGCCACCTTGGTCTTCTTATCTCCGATCCGGCTATAAAAGATGTTTCACAGTGGCGATGGGCTGCTCCTATGTACAATGGCATGAAATCAGTAATGGTGTTCGTGTTTTGGAGCACAAGATTTTACACAAATAACTTATATAGCGCAGCCAAAGGCGCGATAAATCACTCACATTATCAGGAAGAATGGACGTCTCAAGCTTCCATGCAGCAAAGCTCACAATCAAATGTCCTCACCTGTTATTGGCCCGCTCCTCTGGTTTACGTTCTTCACCTAAGGTATGATGTGTGCTTTGAAGCAACGGGACCAGAAATGGTGTGTAGGCCATGGCTTTGTGCAGAACTCTAGTGGGGGTGCTGTATCCTCGGGGCCCTCTGGTGCGATGTCAATGTTCACTGTCGTTCATTAGCTTATAGATCGACGAGCTAATCCATGACTCACATGTTCTGGTGGCCAAGCCTAGGGACGAAGAACGGCAAAGAGTTGCGGTCCTTGCGCTCGTGCATTGTGGCCCGTATGTCGGTTCTATTGGAATCGTATCGTCTTCAGGATCAGTATGCAAGTCAGGCTAAGATTCACATACCTGCGACGCGGATATTTGCGCTTTCTCTTGGGAATACACACAGGGTCTGTACAGTAGATCAGCTGAGTCTACTGCTGTGGCGGAGACCTCTTCGCATAGACACTTGGACCAGCCAGCCTAAGTCTTGTCTCTTTGATCGGCTGGCGTGAATGACAGTGCATCTGGTGGGGATCATATCTCTCACAGGCACTGTCTGGCTTGCTGGTCCACGATGTATTCTATAAATGTCAGTACATTAGAGATCCAGTACTCGATCAAAGGGGAGAGGACTTATCAAGTGGCTCAGACACAAACCTGCTCGATTTTGCAGAGTCAAGTGAATAAATTGTAGAGCAAATTGCCGGGGGTTAGAGGACGTATTTATAGGCTTCTCGGCTCATCCTGTCGGGTAAGTGCTTGGTAGAAAGCGTTGAGGGACACCTCTTGTAACTGAGGCCTGTCGAAACCCATGTCTTCTATGTACCGCAACTATTTGCAGTGACAATTTTCTGCCTTTAGATGCTCAGCGAGGGAGACGAGCAATAGTGGTGTTGAGGAAGGATGCTGAGTCGGTCAAGAAACGTTGGCTCACTGTTGAATCCTTCACGGCCGTCTTAAATTGAGGCTTTGTGGATGGATATATTCTGTCCGCAATGACAGGCTCATTTTCATTTTCTGATCACCTCACCTGTGAGCGACTCAATGTTGAATGACTAAAAAGCGCCTACAATTTCATCCCTAGAATCATGGACCTTCAACGAAAGTGGAAGTGTGCAAAATATATATGAGCATTCATATCTGGCCCTCAACATCGTGAGGCTTGATCAGTTTCCCCGACCGACTCGTTGATCACTATCCCTTCTATCAAATTGACTGCCAACCGCCGCTGAAATTAAAAATAAAATCCATTCAAAAGCTGACTGCGTTGATTGACCAATGTGGTGATCCATAACCACATCCGTTTGCATATTCTATAAGAGACACGAAGGCCTGATCGAAACGGTACTGCCCAGATCTTGACATCCTCCTGCGGACAAAACGGATGCCCCGAACAGCTCGCCAGACCAGGAAAATAAAACAGAACAGCAGCCCAGTGAATTGCCAATCCTTAGCGAGATAGACAGATCACAGGAAAATCCTCATCATGTCCCCCCATTGGTAAGTGGAACGATTCGGCTTCCAATATTTTGGCAGACTATCGCAGTTCTCCCCTTCACAGCAGGAAGCAGAAACAAGACATACCTTGGCGACTTTGCCCTTTCAACCCATTGAAGGTGCTAGCAGACCTCGGACGCGACGATCCCAAGTTCACCTTTCCAGCAGCTCGACTTGTTGGACTCTATCGACGCCTATGGGAGTCGTGTGTGTTCAAGCACATTGATGGCGAGTAACTAGAGCAGCGCAACCTTGCTTTGAAGGAGGCTGGTACGCAGAGAGATGGTCTTCAGGTTCGCCATGACAAACAGTTATCCCGGCTGCGCTTTTTCGAACAGGCATTGGAATTATCCCGGGAACGACTGATCAGCCTACTCGACGACTGGAACCACCCTTTCAGGCCCAAACTGACAGGGTTGCCGGATGTTGAAAGAGAAGTGTGAGGAATTGCCTATTCCGGATTGCCCTGTCCTATCTTGGTGACAGAGAAATACTACAAGCGGCGACGCAGTGCAGGGAAAATTACCGCATGTAAAGCAGCTATATCTTTCCGATAGTTTATAGTAACAACGCATAAAATAGCCATTGTTTCATTATCAACGTCTTCACTGCAATGTGTCTGCGAGTAACCCCGCATGTTCTGGATCAATCTCACCTGTAATTACCCGATATATTATGCACAAAAAACCGTGGGTCCAGGGATAGTGTCGGGGGCAGCACAGTCAGCGGAGAATATGTCGAGAGACTCAAATATGGTAGAGATTCCATACGAGGCCAAAGGGACAGTCGGAAGCTAGTGCCTGTTGCACCAACAGCATGCCAGGTGATTGTTTCTAGCAACTGCCTGCGTACCCGACAGAGATTCCCCAGGGCCGTTTCAACCCGCGGCAGGAAGATCAGATCCTCTCCTATAGTATCACCAGATGTCCGGTCAAATAGTGCAAATCGAAATTCTATCAAGTGCACTTCTTTAGGGAAAAGGAGCGCTGACATGTAGAGGAAAATGTCGCCAGCCTGAGTAGAGATGGACAGAGGATCTGGACCCGTCCACTTGAAGGCCGACAGCTTGTCGTAAGTGGGATGAAAAAGGCATTCGATCAAGGAAGACCCTGAAGTCTCACATCCTGCAGGTTCACCCCCGTCCGAGAGGATCTGCCGAGGATTATCGGAGTCGGTGGCGAGACAGGGAGGCGGTGTCGGTATGCCAGAGGATTCATTTCAGATAGCGTGAAGGTCGAGATTCAAATCGTAGTCTACTATTGTAAGCACAAAACACCATTGAGGTAACGGGTACAGACTATCTTTGCCCGAGTCATTCATATCCGTCGAAAGCTCGCTGTCGAAGCTGCTGTAGGAAAGAAATACAGAAGTGTATAAAATAGAGGTTTAACGAGGGTTGAGAGAGATGGAAAGCTGGAGGCTGAGCAGATATCTTATTTCACTCTGATTACACAAGGTCAGGACAAACTAGGGGGAATTCATAGCCAGATGCTAAGTTATCGAATGCGTTGGATGTATCAACAGCCGTGCATCGTTGGCACCCGTCACCAAACCCAACTAAAGTTCACCAACAGTATAGACCTTATCTAAAATTAGCGCTAATCCTAAGGAGATAGCGCAAATAGATAGCGGAAAATCCAAATGTCATTCTTCCTGCCCATAAACGCTCTACCACATGGAGACTTTATCAAGGCTCAGGCTCATCGACAGAGTAGGCTTGAAGATCGCTCGCTTCCAAGGCTGAAACAACACCATTACAAAGAGCCTGAACCGCTCGTCTGCGGTCCCACAATACTGATACTTGTTCATCGCAGAGCTGTAGAAGGATGTCGCTGTCGCTTGCTAGCCACTCATTTGACGCTTGAAGCTGTCGCTGCTCCTCCTCGAGTCGTATTTTCTGGGCCGATTTGACGACGTAGCATTCCCATAGGCAAAAGTACAAGTCGAGCAATTTGAGGACTGGTGTAGCGAGGGAGACATTGAGGTTTACTACTTTCATGAACTCCGCCGTAAGGGTACCCCGTGTTCTCACTGGGATCTATTCAGTATTAGTGGGTTTTTTTCATTTCCTGCCGAGGGGGTATGACCGACCTTGGGTTCGATGGTTGTGCCGTTTGAGGCTTGCTCTGGATGGTTTTCCAACTTGGGTTCATCCTCTGGAGCTTGGGATACTCGGCACTGTCTCTTGGCTGGCCGATCAATTGGGGAAGGCGAAGTGGGATGGTCCATTTTGGTCATCAAGATGGATTGGATCAGAAATTGTGCTCGAGGGTCATTTATAACTGACAAGTCACGCCGAGGCTGCTGTCATTTCTACCAATGCTTCCTCGCCTAGGATCGACCGCACTTTTGAAAAGACAGTGAACAGTTAGCTCAACTGCTGATGCTCGATCTCCCCAGCTGCTCACCCCGAATTACTCACCGATATACGAAAATGAACAAAAATTTAAACGTTGAAAAATATCGTTACCGAACCTATTTCCTAACGGAAGGTAGTTTGCAAGTGTACTTCTGACGCATTGAATGCTAGACATCAAGTAGAGCTCGTTGAAACTTAACCGTGACATTAACTTGACTGCAAAACATTTGAAACCAAGAAAAGCAGATATATTGCGTTTGAGCATAATATTGATACCAATTGACGTTGGTAGCAGCCAATCTCGCATTTTGATACGGACCTACCAGAAGTAGATTTCACTAGGTCTTCTAGGCAACCAAACTTTCTTCTTAGTGACTGCAACAAAACCGTTTGATGAGTGTTATCATATCATTTTGTTTTGAACAGGCCTCCGGATATTATTGTTGTTTTCTAGATCCCACCGATCTCCTCAAAACTGCCGTCCTCCTTCCACGTACCACGAGCACGTTGACTGTGCGATATGAGGAAATCTTCCTTTTCGAGATTTCAAAGGCTTAAGCGAAAGCTTCATGAATTCAAAGATGCCTTTCTCAGTATCAGTCGATCAAAGTCTCTCCCAGAGATACATGTACCTGCCGCCGCTTCTGAATTGGAACGCACACGACGATCCGCCGCCCCGTCCCCAGAGGTGTCCCCAATGAAGATAATAGATCATAAAAATGAGACGAAAGGCACCTCGATCAGTTTCGATTCAATACCGCGAACATTCACAAAGCAGACTGGAACTAAACTCATTTTCAGTTCCACAACCTGAAAGGAGAGTAACGGGCTGGTCGGGTCGGTCGTGCAAGAACACGAGCCTTCGGGTGGCCATTCCGTGCGAAACTCGTGAGGGAAGTTGAGAGACCACACTGCGTGGACGAGTAACCAACTTGCGTTATTCGTGAATTCCATGTTTGTGCTGGAGGCATGTAACAGACAGCACAATTGAAGCCGCTTGTGGTCTGGAGAAAGTCCGGATCTTCGATTTTCACGGCTCGGGCCAACCTAAATGCACCTAGGAGTTTGTCGCTAGTTTTGCTTCTTTGCCAGGCGGTCCCTTTCGGTTTCTGAGACGGCCTCATTGGGGAACACGGCAGTGGCGACATTGTAGGGCATGCTGGTTGGCCATTGATGTACCAATAAAGCCGAATCATGAGATTCCGAGTAAATCGTGACATCTTTGGCTTGGTCTGGGCGCACATCCAACAAATTTAAAAATCGGCTGGCCCACACTTTTGGCCGACAGCGATGGCGCCTGCACTCAAAGCAAAATAACTGCTTTGCAGCCGATGAAAATCCCTGCGCTGATGGATACGCGAAAGGGGGGTTCAGGGACAGCTGAAAACACAATACTCCATTTATCCGGGAGTCAAGCGGCACGGTGTTTTGACAGTGATTCCCGTCATATCCTACCCATATGCACCGCTCACGGTGCAAAGGATCGCCCAATACTTGGCCTAATTCCCATTGGATATGAGCAGGATTCCAGGACATGATGAAGATGTAAATGTAAAAGCGTCTCGGGTCAATCGCGAGGTTTGCATATAATTTGCTGGAGAAGATATAGATTGTTGAGCTGGTATCTGTGATCATGTAGGGAGAGCGCAATATATATACGCTTCAGAAAGACATAGTGGGCTTTTATCTTGCTCTTTCGCCATTACATGTTCGAGCAGAAGAGGTGTGAGAAGAGGTTTGACTTAGCTAGTTCCCAACAATTCTCATCCTGTTCCTGGAAAGCGGTTATTATTTCCTGGGAGCTCTAGTCACATTTGTTAGGGATACACGCAAGGCATACACAATGAGCGGAGATACGATATGCGGGACCCACATGGTGCATCTGGGTTCACTGGTATGTATACGCGACTTTGCCCTTACAACTAGGCCTCAAGATCCTGGAAACCACCAAATGATTCCTAGCAGTGTATCAATAGAGCCTGAGAAAACGACATTAAGCGAGAACGTATCCCACATGTCGTGTCCAGAGCCTTCAGTCATGAAGCAATCATGACCCAACACGCCCTTCGAAATGCCCCTAGGCAACTTGCAATTTGCCAGCTATGCCATTCCGCAAATTCATGGTCCAAATGCACAGCCCACCGAATGCAAAGAGTGATTCAGAATGAGACATCCTTCTTGCAGCCCACTGATCAGCGGTATAGCGGTATAGCGGTACATACTGCATCACAGTGCATTCTTCGACGTTTCGATTGTTCCTAGAGAGAAGTTCCACGTCAGCAGCCATGACGTGATGTAAGTACAGATCCCATGATGATGGCATATAAAGCTGGCGAGGGAACGCTGCGGAGATTGCGCAACATCAATACCTCACAGGGAGCTAATGAAGACATACTACATACTTTGGTTCCCCAAGTAGAGTTAGAAGGCTGCGTCACATACAAAAAGGGTTTCTAGCACAGCCTCAGTAAAAGTGGTCACAAGCCACCTTTCTCTCTCTCTCTCTTTCCACCGAGCACACAATACTCGGCACGCAATGTTCATTCTCACTCTTGTAGCCCTAGTGACTATTACTCGCATTTGAAATGTTAAGCCTCGCGAAGCCTTCCTTCGAGCCCATAGCAGCTGACTGGTGCTCTCACATGAATAGAAACCATATTTGAGGCCGGAGATGTCACTTAACCGGCACTCTCAGATGCATAGAAGCTGACAACTGTTATGTGGTCTGACAGCAATTCGCCCAGGGAAATCAAAAATTAGACCAATTTCAATTATGAGAAGCAATTGCATCTTAATCAATAATAGTCAGGTTGGTCGTCTCGTTGCCGGCGTGTAAAGATCTATGCATGTTCATTCGCAAAAGTCTCAA